CGAGTACACCCAGCCCCGAAGTGTGGGACACCCGAGGCTCGATCTCGCGATCTGTTAGTTAGAAGTCCAACGTCTCAACCATCGCTGAACCCCCTCCACCATTCTGTATTCCCTATCACAACCGACAAGACAACGAGCCCGTGTCTGAGTCGGTAGAAGCGTTCGACTTATAACTAACAGGTCTCGGGATCGGGCACCAGGTGTTTCACACTTCGGGGTTGGGTATATTCGCTGACGACGGCTAATAAGCCAAACATGCCCATCCCAGTCTCCAGTGTCTTTGTCGGTAATACCATTCTGCATATAGTTACACTCGCCTGAAACGCATGGACTTGCTGAAGGCCTATTTGTAAATCAGGCGAATGCAAGTTCGCGTATACGATGAAGAGAGTGAGTAAGTCATCGTGATCGCTGTCGTCCAACGAGATTGTATCCTCTCAATCTGCTTTAGCCATAGGATTGATTTGGTTTTGTTAGCAGCACTCCGCGACTGCGAGGACAGGTAGATAGACAAGATCTCGTCTCGGACCTTGAATAGGCTGACAACAACAGATTGCTATGAAACTCAGTTGAAAAAACAATCTCCCCCTGTCAGCATAGGAGTCATCTCCCGCAAATTTGACCCCATAGTGACCCCGAGGGCAGCTATAATACTGTTCGATATATTCGCACCGAATTAAGTGGTCCCCTTCTGGATAGGCGGTAGGTCGATGTGGTCGGTTTTATCTTCCTCGACTTCTTTCCTCTACTGACTAGCCGCAACTTGAGTGCTGCTTGCTCTGTCGACTCTGGGAATGCACGTGTTCCCTCGGCTAGATTTGGCGGACAAAAAGAGTTCGAGTGTGTGCATCTACAGCAGCCTCCTGCTTGTGGTTGCAAAATGTGACCTCTACGCGTTGCCAAGGGGAGGGAGATTTGAGCGCTTCGAAACCGATGCAGCCTACGGTCCGGGTCTGGAATATGGGTCTAGTGCGGCATGTGATCAAGCCAGACTCGAGGCAGATGCTAAGCGTGACTATCTCCGGTGTTGGCGAATGCAACTCCAGGTGGGCATCGATGGCTGAGTTTTTGTCTGGCGTGCATAGCTCGTAGACCGCATTGATTCGAGCTGCTTCTGAAAAAACCAGTATTAATGCCAAAAATCAGTACTGGAGGTAAATACAGTACCTGTGCTAACTCATGAAATGCCGAGGTCAAAATTATAGTGGACAATGTAGTGTATTTTTGGTGTCGTTATTTGTGTTTATTTAATTGAAATAAGGACGAAAAGACCGTTTTCTGAAGGAAAGTTTGATACGGATCTGTATATTAAATAGAAAACGGGCCGGATTAAGGCGAAATCGGAGGATTCCTGATGTTCAAGCAGTTTCCTACGCCATTAAAGCTTTCGGATGGAAATTCTTTGTGTAACCTTATTAATCTGTTTAAGATGACTAATAAAAGGACGAAATTTTTTAATAAACTTTCGAACAAAAAGAAAAAATTAAATTTCAATATCAACAAAATCAGAGAAATGCAGATCAATTATTTCTTATTGTGTTCAGGAAATAACGTGCGACCGCCGACCCCAACGTCGCTCCAACCTCCTGATGCCAGGGTGGGTGCACAAGGTACACGACGTACTCACAGCCTATGCCCCCCCCCCCCCCTTCCTCGCCCCCTGAACCCAATTACCACGACACGCCGACCACGCCATAGCACGCCTCGTCATGCGAGTGGCGTGGGAACGATCGATGTTAATTGTCCCGAATCATTTATAAGTCATGTAATTCGCATAACTTAAACTTCATTGTAACCGTTTTGGCCTGATGAAGAGTTACTGAAAACACGTGTTCGCCAATTTGACTTTTCAATTGTAACATGGGAATATTCGCTGAACGTAGACAATCCAAAGATCCCTCTGTGTTAAAGGAACTCAGTGGATTTCTCAGATATATTTTATAGAAAACAGACACAAAATACGCTTTCTTTTAGTCATTTGGTACCAAATCACACCTACCTCAACTGTATACCCAAAGAAAGAGTAAATTTCGGTTTTAAAAAAATTTTAATGCTCAAATAATTGTGGATCATACTAGCCATTGTATTGGCTTTTAACGATTTCAGTCTGCAAGGTATATACTTTCCACGTAATAAGAATCATATATTCCTCTATGCCTTTAAGAAGAAACCATGTAGAGCTCACCAAATTTTGTAATAGATGCGGACTATGTCGTACAATTTATGAGGAGCATTAATAAACAAACAAGCACGTTAATGTAAGTATGGACATTGCACGGGCTTGAAGAATCGCATAATCAGAAACTTCCTAAAGCCGATGGGTACTCTTTCTTCAGGTATAAAATGCGAAGACGACGTGATCTGCTACCGAATTAGTAAAAGAAATCATGTTGCCAATAGAAGCGAAGAGACGAGTCCCGGGAAGCAGTCTTGAAGAAGACGCTCGTGTCTTCTTCTTCTTCTTCTTCTTCTTCTTCTTCTTCAAGAAATGATGTTTTTGCGTATGTTTTCTGCGGAATATATTTGAATTTAGAGGGACACCGAAAATCAATATAGAAGTCGCATACTACTTAACTAGTCATTTTTTACCGAGTGCAGTTTTTACAGGTCAAAAAAGTGTATTCATACCCAGCATTTTGGCAAGTTCGAAATACGGGATTATGTCGCGTGATTAGCAATCTTTCAACCCCATCTAAGTAATCCTTCCTATTCATAGATGTGTTGGCAGATTTCGAACAATTCATATTGACCCAACCGTGAAAAATTCGCCACCTCGATGGGATTCGAACCCACGCAGTAACGGGAAGACTTTAGTACAGCCAACGCTCTAACCACTTGAGCTACGAGGACCCGCCGGACGACGCGAGTTTAATCACATGTGGGTCAAGTTACCCGCCCAACCCACCGCAACGTCTGAAATCCACCAAATCTGATACAGTAAGTTGACCGCCCAAGCGGGATTTCATAAGTCACTAAATTAGAATCCACTGTATGACCACCAGGCTCACGTACTTCATAAACGTTTTGATGGGGCCTCGTAGCTCAGGTGGTTAAAGCGTTGGCTGTACTAAAGCCGTACTATAAACTAATTTAGTCTCAAGTCCCCGCCCCTGCGCTCACCTTGCCAGGGGGCACACGATGAACGCCGTCGCGCGCAAGTGGCGGGCTTAGCTCAGAGAATACGAAGCTCTTGACACCAAAGTAATAAATGTGGGAACAATGAGAGCCGTGTCCGTCAAACTCAGATTAGGATATATAAGACTCGAAGACGCCACACGCGGAGAGCGGTTCGCACTTTCTGTAGATTATCTCCTGAATGCACCGCTGGACACCAATTCCAGAATGATTATTCGTATTCAGCAGAAGGATTGGGCTTCTCGAGCAATACTGTCTGGAGGGGTAACCCGCATGCAACAGACTAAAGGACAATTCTAACCAGCAGGCTATCTCAAAGCTTGGTCGGACATCAGATGAAGACACGTTTGAGGGCGCATTTTTCAATTGCTGTTAAGGGAGGAGGAAGATATTTTTAAAACGGTTGATTATTATGCCGAAAAATGAGCTTTGTACGCTTTAGGGAGGAGGTTGGTAGTGACGTGACAATGATGGACCCCCCGATCGCTACCGAAACCTGACTTCTTTTTGAATTGTGCTCAACATTTTATGAATTACTGCTAGATGACTCCTCAAACCTTTCGTTCACTTTAAGGGAACAACACATGCGTTCACTACGGACACGACGGAATACCACTCTTTAGCTGCCTCGGCATAACAAAAAAACCAGATACCACAAAAAGTTGCGAAAGCCTGCCGGGTGAATGCGGCGTATAAGATGCACATGTTATCTGACAGTTTCCTCGTAGCTGCCGGTGTCCGAAGACCATGTGAAATCTATTGACGGACTAAGTAACAACCGGCAAGTTTCAATTCTAAGAAACGCGACCACTCTGTGCGATTTTTGTGTCGTGGCAGTTGCTAAATCTGAGTTAAAATTATCGTCTCGACCGATCGAAACTCCGGTCAAGTCTGAAAAGGGAGATTTCTACTAGACCACAAAACACAAGTCAGTGTAACTTCTGCAAAAGTAGTTGGTAAACTGTGATGAGCTTTCGACTAGGCCTCTCCTAGTCACATTATGACTTAGTTAGGCCAGAAAACTGTTTAATCTTCACACCAATAAATCTGGTCTTTTTCGTTCTGCCGGGCCTCCTATCTCGCTCTACCGCTCCAACTTCCGCCTCTCAAGATAGCACCAACAGCGAAGGCCATCAATTCATGCATTCCCGCAAGAAACCCAAAATAACCTTCGGACTGCGAATCGTGCCAATGAACTTCATAAAGTGTTATCGGAAATTACGGAACTGATCTGAAACCAGGCTTAATCCAGAACAAAAGAAGAGTTCTCCTTATATACACACAAAACAGAGACGAATGAGGATATTAATCGACTGCAGCTTATATCCTCGTCAGATCATGGCAACCACATATTGCCTATGTCGGAGCACGAAACCACTGTGTTCTCGAGAGTGTCGCCTGTCAGAGGACAATGTCTGATTATTCAGGGACTTCCCGAATCCACAGCTGGTGCCTCCAAAGAGCGGGTCTCGGCAGACCTGAAACTCTTCCAATGCCTACTCAACGAAATTCTGCGCCCCAATGAGGAAGTTTCGGTTCTCAAGGCCTTTAGGCTTGGAAAGCGCTCAATCGATATAACAGAGCACTCACGTCCCCGACCACTCAAGATTGTGTTAGCCAACCAAGAACAAGTAGGACTTATTCTCTCACGACGTTTCCGAATCAAAGACACCAACCGCGGCGTTTTTTTTCAGCCGGACTACACACCGGCAGAGAGAATAAAACGTCGACAATTAGTTCTGTAACTGAGAACAAGGTTGCAGAATGGCGAGACGGATCTTGTGATCTACAACAACCAGATAGTGCAGCGCCCTCCCCTAATACGTTGGACCGAACCGATCCGGATGAGAGCACAGTAGCTTCCTTAAATGGGATCACAAGCGGCACCATAATCAAACGCCCCAAAACTCTGAAACTAACATTTTTTACACCAACGTGCAGAGTATATTGCCCAAGTTAGACGAACTGAAGATCCACATCTGTGACCTTTCCCCTGACATTGTCTCTTTGACAGAAACCTGGCTGTCTGAAAACGTGGATGACCGCGAATTAATGCTACCAGGATTTCAGCTGTCTCGAAGAGACAGGAGAGAGCGTCAGGGAGGAGGAGTCGTCACGTACGTAAAACACGGCCTGCTTGTGTCAGAAAAAACAGAACAGTTTGCCTGCAGCGCCGAGACTATCTGGCTCAATATAAGGGTACCAGGATCACATAGCCTTGAAGTTCTGACCGCCTATCGACCACCGAGGAGTGACCCCGAGGCTGACGCTCGTCTGTTAGAGGAGCTAGGACGATTTGCTCTCCGGCCTGACGTCCTAATCATGGGCGACTTCAATGCACCGCTCATTGATTGGAGTTCACTATACGCGCGCGGCCCAGAACTAGCTTTCGACCGACGCTTCTTGGACATGGCACTCAGGTCATTTCTCACACAGCACGTCCTATTTCCCACGAGGGTCCGTGAGGGGCAGCAGTCAAACTGCTTGGACCTGGTGCTCACGGAATCGATGGACAGCATAGATGAGGTACAATGTCTGCCTCCCTTAGGTCGAAGCGATCACGTTGTACTTCAATGGGACTATTCAATCTTTTCCGTGCCTGAACAGCCCACCAAAATTAGAAGAAATATTTGGCGTGGGGACTTCGATCAAATGAAGGCCGAAATCAACAATACGGACTGGGAATCAGCGTTTTCCGGAAATATAGAGGAGGATTGGAAATGGTTCAGTGAATTATTGCATGCTCTCCTGACAAACCACTGCCCGCTTTCACGGAAGGGGCTAAACAAACGACCCCGGTGGCTGACCCAGGCGTTAAAAAAGGAAATAAATAAAAAACGGAGATTGTGGCAGAAATCTCTTACTGATGGGACTCCTGTATCCATAAACGCATACAAAATACAGAGGAACTTAGTCAAGCGGCTGACCCTCAGGACACGGCAAAATTTTGAAAAAGACCTATTGAATCGTGCTATGGAAAATCCAAAATTATTCTACAGCTACATAAGAAGCAGCACACGAACCAGAGATCCAATCCCCCTCCTGAAGACTAGCGGCGACGTAGAGATTAGTGAGGATGGAGAAAAAGCTGAGCACTTTTCACAATTTTTCAAATCCATCTTTACTAGTGAAAGTCCATTTACTCCCCCCGACTACGACTTCGATGAGGGTCCAAAAATCGAGTCTGTGTCTTTTGATGAAGCGACGGTTCGCAAAGAGCTAATGACGCTAAATGAGTCGAAATCACCAGGTCCAGACGACATACCGCCTAAGTTACTGAAGGAGCTCGCTGCCGAACTAGCCAAACCATTGTCCATGCTTTTCCAAGCCTCGTTCGAAGCCGGCGGCTTGCCCGCCGACTGGAAATCTGCGCGGATCACACCACTGCATAAAGGAGGCAGCAAGGCCTCTGCAAACAATTACAGGCCAATTAGCCTCACTTCCATCTGCTGCAAACTCGTGGAGAAAATAATCAAGCGAGAGCTGATGCGCTTCCTAGAGCAGCATAATTTATTATCTGATGCGCAGCATGGGTTTCGTATTGGCAGGTCTTGCGTGACTAACCTGCTCAACTGTTTGGAACGTTGGACTCGGTCAGTTGATGAAGGCAGTGCGCTGCATGTAGTCTATATCGACTTTAAAAAGGCATTTGATAGTGTCCCACATCAGCGACTCCTGCACAAACTGAGCCGAACAGGCGTTAGGGGTAACCTCTTAAAATGGATTCAAAGCTTCCTGTTAGACCGTTGTCAAACTGTCCATGTCGGTGGCCAGAAGTCGACGGAGGTTGCCGTTGAAAGCGGTGTTCCCCAAGGCTCAGTTCTTGGCCCTACTTTGTTCATCATTTACGTCAACGATTGCGTGAGTGAACTGGATTGTGGTGTCGCCATGTTTGCGGATGACATTAAGCTCTGGAGCGTCATTCGAACTGCAGATGACGAAGAGCATCTTCAGGCGAACCTAAATCGACTCCAACAGTGGTCAAAGGCCTGGCTTCTGCCGTTCAACGAGAAAAAGTGTAATATTCTACGAGTCGGCAGGGCTCGCTCTCCGAACCATATGGCCTACTGCCTAAATGGTATACCACTGCAAGAAGTGGACTCGCAGAAGGACTTGGGAGTATGGATTACGACCTCGCTCAAACCCTCGCTGCACTGCACGAAGATAGCCAAGTCTGCAATGTCAGTCCTCTACCTTGTCAAGCGGGCTTTCTCTGCCTTTGACGAAGACTGCTTCGCTAAAGTCTTTCGAACTTTTGTGCGTCCGCAACTAGAATTTGCTATCCAAGCTTGGAGACCCTGGACCGCGAAGGACCTCAGCATCCTTGAAAGGGTTCAAAGGCGTGCAACGAAACTTGTGGCAGGACAGGGTTCACTACCATATGCAACGCGGTTAGCTAACCTTCATCTCTTTCCCTTGAGTTACAGGCAGTTACGGGGTGACCTGATACAAGTCTTCCGTATCATACGCGGTCAGGACTGCAGCCTCGTACCGGGTGACTTCTTCGAGTTAGCAACCACCACAAATCTACGAGGCCATCCATTCAAACTACGTGTGACAGGGGCCAGACTGGACACACGAAAGTTCTTCTTCTCCAACAGAGTAGTAGAAGCCTGGAATGCCCTGCCTGTGGATGTCGTTATGTCTGCTTCCGTCGAGGTTTTTAAGAGGAAGCTGGATTTGTGTAGCAGTGTGCACTAAATTACCACCCCGATCTCTGTAACCTCGACAAATTCCGCTATTATAATACTACTTGCTATATTTCAGTAACATTTTAAATTGAACTTATTATTGTACCAACCCATTGCCTACGCTTACTGACATGCACATATGCAAATTTTGTCCCCGGACATATTATTTATTTTGCTGCACTCGAAACGACAGCTCTACAACTGCTCGTACCACTAAAATTCGAGACAGTTTGTTTGTCTGTACAGACCTGACGCTTTTCCGATTATTTGTTACTTTATGATACCTTTTCGAGTTTTTGAGATTTTGCAGTTGCTTGTAAACAAATAGGGAGTTCAAAGGTGAAGACCTACATTTCCCTCAATAAACTGAACTGAACTGAACACAATGATGTGCTTACGATTACATATGCCAAATATAGCTAAATGTATTAGTTACCGACCGACCTTATGAAAACTTGTTCCTATGAAATTCCTATCGAGGAGATCCAGCAAAATCCTGTTTGCCTTATAAAAACGCACGTCAACTAAGGCAAAAGCATAGAAAGTATAATGAATTCACTGGAAACCGTTTTAAAATCTCCAGAACGTTGGATATTGGCAAGTCGCTATACCTGACATTACACCAATTCTTAAAGGGTATTTGGATTTAAAGTTCACTAAAAGACTGTTGCCAAACATAATTCTATTCTATTTCCATACTTTCTGTTTTTGCATAGACAGGATTTCTGTTCATCGAAAACTGAAGTTTCCTAAACTAAAGCCACTTTTACCATTTTCGGAATTTTTCGCCTTTCTGAAGAAATGATATTTCTAAACAACATAATATTCCCTTCAACATTTCCTTAATGTTTTCAATTCCCTTATAGTTGTTCTTTCCAGTATAGATATTGGGTCCATTCATTGATGTCGGTTCGCGCGTGTTTAGCAATCATTCGCAAATTTCGACACCCTTCAACTCTTAGGCCACGTACTGTATCTTCGATTAGAAAAGATTACCTAGGTAGCATAGTCACAAGATATTTCAGTCACATCAGGGTGCTGGCTTTTGAACGATATCATTTCTAGTTGCTCGCAATAACTACACCCTCTAAAAAACGACTGCTTAAGTAGTATGAATTTTTCCTTTTCTTCCAATGCCTTTATATGTTTAAATATATTTTGTATAAAACAAGCAAACATGTTTTTCCTCACTCTCATTTGGTAGGAAATTACGCCTTCTTAAAACTGCTTACTTGGAGAAAGCGTATATTTCAGTTTTACAAATCCCAATTCCTGCATAACTGTGAACCTGATTTGCGTTGCATTCGTATCTGCGTTTTCAAACTGCAAGCCGTATATCTTCCCTACAAAATAAATCTCACACTTATATTTGTTATTAAGAAAATGATATAGAGGGCTCAGAAAATCGTAGACTGCATGCGAACGATGTTGTATGCTTTGCAAGCAGCATTGATAAGTGACTACATTAGATGAGTTATGAGTAAGAACTTCACGGTCTTAAAAAATCTCATATTTACAGACTTTCTGAAGACGGAAATACAATTCGTGAAAGTATAAAATTTGAAAGACATCATTTGCTACAAGCCAAATGCAATAAAAATACATTTTACATCTTACATATAATATATATTTAGATTTATCAGGGTACTGAAAATGAGGGGGAATTTCACACTACTTAGGCGGTCTTTTTTACGGAGTACAGTTTTCGGAAGCGGCCGGAAAGAAGCTCATTCGAAACTCGTCATTCTGGTGTGACTGAAATATCTTGTGATTGCTCCGCGTGATAGTTAGTCTTATGACCCTACCCGAGTTGTCTTTTCTAATCGAAGACACATTTCAGAATTCCGGCTAACACCTTATGAGATAGCATATTTACGTTACTTCGGTAACTTACACTTGCATATGCTATGTTGAATGGGTGTCATTCGACTTGCTGTCGCTGTGTTCTTCGGCAACTTTTCGTCTTCTTATTGCGCAAGTTAATACCCTACTGCAAAACAATTTTGTCTTCAGCCTTTTCTCCTGCAAGTTTATTGATTTCCCCTTTCGCTCCCTTTCCGTGATTGGAACTCGACAATCTATCACCGAATACTGGCAGAGATACTTGAAAATTTTGAAAATTCGATAGGTAGTCACATTTTGCCCTCATTTACTACGTTGCCTGGACTTAGTTAGACATGAGCACTCCATCACATCTACTGAAGTGACCTTTGTCCATCAAAGAGGACCGCTCTTCTTTTTTGTTTTCAGAGAAAACACTCTGTTTACTGCCCCTGTTATTGGTAAATTAATTTATCAGTCATAAACAGTTACAGAAATACTTAACATTTGAGATGATCGTCGATCGCCGGCAATTGAAAGACAACCATCAGATAACACCACACTCAGCGACACTACCAAAACTCTCGAAGCAGCACACGAGATGAACTTTGGGTAGAAGAACAGAAATCCGGCCCTCCATAGGGCGTCGCGCACATTACATATAAACTCCATGACGGAATTATGGCTTAACCGGAAGAGACCAATAGCTGTCCGAGGATTTCACAGCAGCTAGTACATTAAAGGAGATGTGCGTGCCTGGTCTAACCTTCTTTTCTACTTTATTTTCTCCGTTGTTGTTGGACTCGCAGAAAAATAAAAACTCTGAAGTCGACAGACCTTAAAGCAACGACAGCATGTTGATCACCCTGCGAAAAATACAGACCCTCGCAAGCGCATGTATGTTGCATGATTTACTGTACGGACAGCACAGGTAATAACTAAAGGCCCAGGCATGCGCTTTGCAGATATTTTGTCGTTTTATGCCACATCTGCGAGGGATTCGGCCCATCAGTGGCCCTCCCAGCGTTACCATGTGCTTTTCTGGTAGATGCTCTAGTTTTGAAATTTCAGTTTTTTAATCGCTTCAGAAATAAATGAGCTTGCGTGGGGTAAATCACTTTTATTAACGTTGATGGGCTTTACAGGCAGTTTATGAACATGCCGCGAGTATCCCACTGAAAGCTCATGGTAACGTTGGGAGGCCCATTGATGAGCCGAACCCTAGCAGCCATGTCATGTAGCGGCAAAATATTCGCGAAACACGTGTCTGTGTTTTTAGCTAGTGTCTTTGCTGTCAGTATGGTATATCATACAACATGTTTACACTACTCTCTGCCTGTTTTCAGACTGTATAGTACACGGTCATCCCGCTGGGGCCGATGAGTTCCAGCTCAAATATTCATATTAACTTCCGGACTGTGCCTGCTTAGTTTCATTCCGACCGACTAACTGCAAGTTAGCGCATTAATTGCTAACTAGATTAGAGAGCTAAAAACTCTAAAGTGAGCACTATTTCGCATGCACCGTACTCGTTAGTAACAGCGATCAAGGTAATTTTAACGACAGAGATGTATTGGAAGTTGGAACAGATTAATTACAGGAGCCAAAAACTGTCCGCTGAAGGAATAAAACAGTACTGTTATACCAACCACCTCCAACTACGCAACAGATTATGCCATGACTTTCTTGTGAGGGGGTACGTTCTCCAATACCTGTAAACTCAGCAGTTAATTTGAGATGCAGGCCTATAAGGCCAGCCCATCCTCTGGTCTACTGCCGCCCTCAGCGGGGAACTGGTAAGGCGTTAGCTTCTCCACATCGCTGAACATATAAACGTGAAAGCATCTTCTCTTCTGAGGGGTGCTCCGACTTTCTCTTTCTGACAGATACGAAAGAGCGAAATGGACCAATTGCACTTAAATTTACATGAACTGACATTGGGCTTTAACCTGTGAGACTAAGTGTCGGATAACTTCAGAAGACGAAGATGCAATCACTGGAACAAGAAATTTATTGGCCTGACGTTTCGGATTCTCACTCGAACCCATCATCAGAGAAATTCGGAGATAAAGGTGATGGTGGCACAAGGAGTGCAGTATTCATGGCACGTGGCTGCCGTGGGACCATATGCGCGCTGTGATTAACAGCTCAGGCAATCACCGCTGGGATCGTAATTGGTGTGGTGGTGGCTTGTCAGCCCGAGTCGTAGTCCTTAATTGCTGTGATTTCGTCATCCGTGCCGGATGCTGGTGTGACGATTGATTGGCAAATTGGCTCACTGTCACTGGGATAATTGCTGCCCGCGCCCTCCCCACGTGGCCGATTCCCCTGCCCAGGGAAAATCTCAGCACGGAATATGGTACTGGGAGGCCATTGCGCCTGTTGATGGATTGCGGGCCTGAGAACCATGACTCGAGCTGCTAGCGGCTCACGCGGTTGTCACCCCTTGCGAGGATTTCGTCCTCTTGAAATTTGAAAATATGGCTGGGTCCCGTCGAGTGTGCCGCCACCTGACAGCTAGCGTCTCCCCGCCTCACTGCTGCTGCGTGCTCGGCAATTCGCGTACGGAGTAATCTCCCGGTTTCTCCGACGTAGTTGCTTTGTCCGCAACTACACCAGATCCGGTAAACGACTCCGGACATTTCCTGTCGTGGCAGTGGGTCATTCAGTCTCATGACTTGTCGTACGATGGTCGCCTCCTGACCTTTGTGCAACCTCAACTCCAACTGGAGTGAGAAGACGACTGACAGCTTCCGAGACGTTCTTCACATAATGAAGAGCCCGCCAAAATTTGGGGCCGGTTGGATTTGGTCTCTGGTGTCCTTTTCGTATGCACTGGTGGATAAAGTTGCGCGGGTAACCCTTGGCTCTCATTCTCCATCGAAGATATTGTAGTTCAGCAATCTTGTCCTCCATTTCAATGCTGTGCGTCTCAACGCGCCAGTATAGCGCCCTTACGTAACTGCGTTTGTGACTGATCGCGTGGTTGCTATTGAAGTTCGGTATTTGCGTCTAATTTGTCAATTTCCTGATCATTTTGGTTTTTAGGCCACCACAATCTTTGCGCCAGACGAGGACATCCAGGAAGGCCAGCTGGTTGTTTTCCTCCTCCT